CCTCTAGTAATATATTTACTGAGAAAAATGTTGACGTGTTCAATACTTATTTTACCCACTGTATGTAATATTTAGCTGCCTGTGACTACAGTAATCACAGCTGCAGACTTCTCCAGAGTCAGCAGAATGTTTCACTTGTGTTCAACAGTTTTGTTTTATTTTGTTTTCTTTGTTAAGTTTAATACATTACTGTTAAATCTGCTTCCCTGATTTAAAGCACCTGTGACATGAAATTTTTTGTAATAAATATGAACTCATTTATAACATATTGCAAAAAAAATTATAATAAATAAAAGTTTCATACTGCTGAGATGAACAGTTGTTGAGATATTCGCAAACAAAGTAACAGGAAGTGATGTCAAAGGGGAAGGTCTGCATGTAAACAAAGCATTGCTACAATGGCTAACAACACAGACTGTAGAGAAGACTCTGATGTTTCTTTAGATTATTTTGAGTCATTATCAGAGAGATGAAGAAGAATCAAAGTTCAAACAATATTATGTCAGTAAACAAAGACCAGAAAATTATTTTTCTGGGAGAGTTCCCCTTTGATGTCACTTCCTGTTTCACTTTGGCTGAGCCAAGTTCAAAAGAAAATAAGCTAGTTTTGTGACAAAATGGGTAAAACTGTGTTTATCATGCCAAGTTTCTTAAATGCAAGGATACTTTCTCACATTATTTCCGTTGAAGGATATGAATGTTACGGGCACTTTAAGTTCAGTTTTGCTTTTATCATTTCATCCAACAGAACCAGTTGGATTTTTCTGAACATTGTTGTTTCTGACAGAGCAAAGCACAAATTTCTAGAAGCGGCAGCTAGTGCAAGTGGTTGAGTACTGATGGAAAAACCTCGTGTATTCTGGCAAACTGAAGGGATTTGGTGAATAAACCACATTTATTTTTAACATTGTGAAAGACATGTTGTGAAAAGGGGCTTTGGCGGTTACAACTAGAGGGTGACCAAGAGTTGTTCTGTTACAAGAATCTTTGGAAACCAAAACATGTATCTGGTATACAACAGGATTTTTTTTTTCATTCTGTGGGGGTGATATGTTTTTTTATTTAATAAAATATAACAATTGCTTATCCGAAAAAAAGTATATTTAACAACTCTTTAAAGAATTTGTGCATTTAATGCTAATATCCTGCTGGTTAGGTTTGCACAGGCATGGGGCGAAAAATAATAATTATTAATCAGTCTATCTCTAGATATAACCAGTAAAACCTCATTTGTCTTTGTTGTTTTTTGCCATTTTAAATAAGGTTTTTCACTTCCCRTGCTGTTTCTTACCAATGCTTTTGGATTACCTCCAGAGAATGGCTACAAAACCCAATAAGTTGTTTGAAAGGGCAATTCTAAACCCAATCTGCTAATTTGAAAAGTAGAAGTGAAGTTTCAGTGATTGTCCTGTGATTTACAATCAACCGTGTCCAATACGTTGGTGTAGCTTCTCAGTCATCAGTGACACGACAGTCCCAACAGCTGAGTCTGCACTTTTAAATGTATCCAGTTATGACAGGAATCCTGCCTGCTACACCCACACATAAAACATGATGTCAGAACTGAGCACCGGGTGTTTACTGTTATCTCCATGCAGTATATGATCTCAACAATCTGTTTTTCTGCTTTCTGCAGCGCTGAACGAACCAACCATCGACTATGGCTTCCAGAGGCTTCAGAAGGTTATCCCTCGGCACCCAGGGGACCCTGAGAGGCTTCCTAAGGTATCACAGGATTTTACTCTGATCTTTGGCAAATTTATCTAATGCTTCAAGTGGAAATCAAACGCTGAACACAGAGACTTCTGAAGAAAACTGTGTCAGTTTCTCCATTCGAGCCACAAGAAGTTGTTCTGGTATCAAAGAATAAACCTGCCGAAATACATGAGAACAAAAAAATAAAACKTACATGTTTTCTTTATTTTTCTAAGCAAACTGTGTTTACAAATCTCTTGTGGGTTGTGCTTTCACCCCTTCATGAACCCTCAGTGTAAGAGTGTCGTAAAACTCCCATTTAAAGCGCGCACGTTTGAATCTGCTCCAGATATGTGATTATTTGTTTATCGCCCGCAGATGAAACRAGGTGTTTAAAAGATCAGCAGATGCAAACAATTAACAAGAAACGCCGAGCTCTGCTTTGAGACCAAACCCTCTCGTTATGATGCGAACATGCAGAGTGCCTCTCCTCACAGCGTGCTGTGACCTGGTGGAGATTTGAAGTTTGGGAGGGTGACTTCATGACCTCATAAACAGCTGCCGTCGACTGGATCTTAGGTTCCTGCAGGAGCCGATCTAAGACTGGCTGGATTTGGTGTGACATCATTATTATTTTTTTAAATGTAAAAGAAGGGGGCGTTGGTCATGATGAGATTATGTGGTGATACGGTGATGTCAACACACTCGTACTGACACCCATGATCCTCACACATGTGTTAGCAATCGTGTGTAATGTGGATCATGTCTGAGTGATTGCAACACATCAGGAAAACGTCACACCTGAAATGCGGATGTGAAATTTTCATAACGTTGATTTCGATCACTTTCACTCCCTGCTCTGAAAGGCAGGTGATCATGCGAACATCTGTGTGCATGTGTTTGTCTGTTAGCAAAATATCTTTTGAACCACAATCCAGATTTTATTAAAACTCCTAGAAAGTTTTTTTTAAATACATCCACATCTGATGAACTTTTGGAGTTAACTTTGTTCAAAATGGCCACCACACAAAAATGACTTTAGCTCAGTCAGTGTTTCAAATTTAGAAATAAAAATTTGCTGTGGTAATAACCAAAAGTCCTTTTCAACACATACTTTAGGCTCAAGCAGATTGTGTAAGATCTTTGCTTTCTACATCTGATAAACCTTTGGAATCAACCCAGATGAAGATGGCCACCATAAACCTTAGCTAAGGCAAAAAATGGCTACAGCTCTCTGAATTTTACCAATACTGAGCTTAAGTTTGATGTAGCTTTGATTTCCTCCTAACACATAGTTTGAGCATTAACAGATTATGCAAAATTTTAGTTTAAGACCTTGGCAATGTGTTTTACTTCAACATTAGGTTCAAAACATACTCTTTTTCTTTAAATGACCAATATTATGTGTTTCTCAGGCATACATTTTAATACTATACCACAATAAAGTATCTATGTCACCTTTAGTTGTTATTAAAATGCTGTTTTATGTTTAAATAGAAAATAAAGTTATCTTCTCATCACTTCCTCTTCTAAACGCCTTGAAATTGGACTCTGTCTCTTTAAGAACCACCTTCCACTTCTGTCCCGCCCATTTTGCTGCGGGGGGGTTTACTTGGCATCTGAAAATACATTTCCTCAAAGGTATTTTGAATCTGCAAAGAGCTTCACTGAGTGAGAACTAATGTTGAGAGCTCAGC